AAAGTCATCTGTTCAGTGTTGTTGTCATCACCCAGGTCAGTAGGTGTTAAAAAACAAAACAAACTTTTACTATAGCAAAGCTGAACTGACTAAGTTTAGTGGGGCTAGGAACCCTCAAAAATATATAAAATTTGAACTATAAATGTATTTTTTCGTAATTTAAATGTTAGTTCTATTCAAGAATTCTCCCTCAAACGTTAGGTTAAAAAAAAAACAAAAAAAAAAAAACAAAATTCAGCTAAAATTTTGGACATGCTAGAAAGGATTAAAAAAATTGAGAAAATATTCAAAAAATACTTTGGTCTTTCCTCTCTAAATAATGACAAACATCTAGACAATGCAAAATTTTTTTTTAATCAAGTTTGGGGCTTTTTTTTCATCAGGGTGTGTTTTTTTTTAGCGATAGTGGACATATTTTTTGGTGATACCTACGTAAAAGGTAAATCAATAAATCTGTAACATCACAGATGAATTTTGATCTAAAATTTTCACATTTAATTCATTTTTTTTTTTTTTTTAAATTAAAAGTTCACCCATACAATGCCCCAAAACCAAAAAGGGTTACTGAGTAAGGTGTGTAATATGAATATGAAGAGGTAGTAAAAATTGAAGGCTATAAGAATAAGGAGGATAGATAAGGATTCACCCTTGACTTAAAAAGGACTCTAGTGTTCAGGGAAGTATCCACATGGGAATCTGTTCCCCTTAAGTAGCAGTGCTTTTGGAACTTTCTTCTTACAAGTGTAAGAGAGAGAAAATCAAGGTGATACAACTCCATGGATATAACATGGCAAGTCCTTGCTATAAAGGACTGAACTGGTAAACTATAAAATAGAGCTCATCTGATCATTTACCATGGAAATACTGATAAGCTTGCAATGTTGTATCTGTAGGAAAGAGGCTGTAGAGTGGAGAATAAGTCATTTGCAACGAGACTGCAGAAGAAACTATTTTGTAATCAAGTTTGGAAAGTGAGGACTTAGCAGCTCTAGCCCAGATATGGCAGCAATATTCCATTTTTAGTCTAATCCAACTTCTGTAAAGATAAAGTATGGCCGAAGGAGTTGGGTAATTTCTGTTGTGGTATAATGAGCCAACCATCTTTAGCAATAGATCATATATAGAAGTTCCACTTGAGGAGGTCTGAAGTGAACTTGAAATCCATTAGACATTCAAAAGCATGGAGCCTCATTGAGAGTGCATTCATTAATCATGATGGTCGATGGAATGATACTAGCTTGACATCAGCTCTCAACCTGGTATCTACACTGATGACACAACAATTTACTCCTGCCTCTATAGTAAGGCTTATCAGTCTGACAAGGTCAAAATGGTAGCTGATGACCAAAACAACCTCTAGTCCATAGTTAGCTGGGGCAAAAGATGGCTTGTTAATTTTAACACCCAAAACTAAATGACTCTCCATTAATCATTTGAGAGACCCCTTGCTGTTTTCCATCAACATGGCTGATTCTATCCTCCAGTAAAGGGACTCATTGTGTCTTGTTGGGATCACGTTCTCTGTTGACATGAAGTGGAAAAACTATATTGAATCCATTGCTAGGTCAACTGCTAAGAAAGTCAGTTCACTATGTCAGGTGAGACAATTTTTCTCTCCAGAATCTATCTTACCATTTGTCCATGCTTAAAATATTGCTGCCACATATAGTCCAGTGCATCTGCTATTTACCTTGAGCTCCTTGATAAGATTCAAAGAAGAATCAGCAATATTATTGGTCCTGATCTGGCAGCTCGGCTCCAGTCACTCTCACATTGTTGTAAGGTTGCCTCTCTATGTCTTTTCTATAAATACTTTTTATGGTAATTTTTCAAATGAGCTCTTTGCATAGAGTTTTTGAATTTAAGTGCAGCACTAGACTGACATTGAGTTCTCATCAATTTACAATTGAGCTGGCTAGATGTAGCTGTAAGTTCTATGCTAATTGTTTCTTCTCTCACAATTCTCATCTGTGGAACTCCCTTCTGGCTCCATGCTTTCCAGCTAACTTTAATCTGCAAAAATTTAAATGCAATGACAATTGCTATCTGCTGCCCTCTTGATTACTCTCTTCTCCTTCTGCTCATCATTAATGTTTCTGTTCCTAATTCTTCCACATCCTGTAACCCTTTGTATTTTAGTGGCATTACTGCCTTGCATGGGGTGATTCTGATACCCCCCCCCAAAAAAAAACACACAGAATATAGCTTTATACAAAAGACCTTTCTAAGCATTACTTAGATTTTTATAAAATCCATACCAATTAAATTACCTACAAAGATTTATATATTATAAACTTATTGACAAAATATGTAAGAAACTCAAAAAAATGAATTTATTTTGTAAATTCATTTTCAGGATAAAATTTGTATTCAAGATTTGTTCATGGAATTTTATATTCAACAGATTATTTTGTATTCAATTAGATTATTATTCATTCATGAAACAGAATTTTTCACTTGTTATTGCATAATTAAAAAGGTAAAAGACAATAGGAAAACTGTATCATTAGCCGATACGTTTCGTCCAACGTGAACTTTTTCAAGGCAAAAATGAAATGGATTTATTGAAAACAAGTAACTATTAACAACAAACAAAATATCCTTAGCAACTAGAAGAATTTAGAAAATGATATTGTATTCATATTGTCAAGTGAAAATTATGCCAAGTTGATAATATGAATACAATAGCGTTTTCTAAATTCTTCTAGACGCTAAAGATATTGTTTGTTGCTAATAGTTACTTTGTTTTCAATAAATTCATTTTTGCCTTGAAAAAGTCCACATTGGATGAAATGCATTGGCTAAGAATAGTTTTCCTATTTTCTTTTACATTTATACATAGTCTTTCTCTACAGGTCAACTCTGAGAAATTTTTCATAATTAGATTAGTTTGTTCTATTTACATATCTTGATAACAAAGGAATGAAAACTAAACAGACTAGATAAGAGAAGAGATTTTTGGTTCCCCATGAAACAAGATGTTAACAATCTGTTGTTAACTGGAAATATATAATTTAAAAAAAATAATTAAAAATAAAAATGTAAGCAACAATTGTCCTTCACAGATTCCTTTTTTTTTTTTTTTTTTTACATTATCTGTGAATTGTCATCATTTCTTGAGTAATGGATTTCATTTTTACAGCTTACCAACCCATAGCAGATTATGTAAAGCTGAAACATATTTTGAACTGTAAGAATTCATTTATTTTTTGCAAGTGAATATTGCATTAACAATCTCTTGAGAATAACAATGATTTTTCCAAATACAAGTCTTAATATTCAATCCATAGCTATGGAAAGGAGATAGATTCATTTCTTTCCCAAGAGTATTTGCGTGTATGTGACTATAACAAACCTGACTGGAATTCAAACAACTCTTCAATTTCTCATTTTGAGATGCTATCCATTACACCTCCCATCACTTCTGGAGAAAGATAGTGGAATGGTTTTCCATTGCCTTCTCAACATATATAAATATATAATACAAATTATGTTAAATGTTATTTGCCAGTTGTACTATAAGCATGTCTTTTACTTATTACAATTCCTCTTAACCCTATAAATGCATATCTGAAGCCACTAGTAATGGTTGCCTATATAATACCAGTTATATCAGATACAATATAATAATTCGATAAATTTTATTAACAAAAAAAAAAAAAAAAAAAAAAATCTCAAATTATCAAATCCAGCAATTTCTTAACTTTGAGTAAACTAAAAAAGCACCAAAAATACATCAAATATGAAATTAATCCTTTGGGAATATCTCAAAGTTTCTGCATATTTGCAAAGCTATCTGGGTTCAAATTACTTTCAGTATCAATCTTTGCTAACTGATGCTATTTTGCATGATACAAGTTTAATTTTGTACTTAAATAGAAAACAGATTACAAAAATTACACTTAGAATTCATGTCAGCTTCAAACTTTCAGATAAATAATTTAGCATCAACACTGAGCTTTAAGATATCATTTTATTATATCAATACATATTCAAGAATATTCTAAATTTTACTTTTAGAAAGATGAAGTTCTATAGAGGTGAATTACATTCAATTCTGACAGAAAAGCTAAAAGAAAGTTTCTTAATCTACATGAGAGGTCATAGAGCGGCAAAAAACCATAATGAAAATGTTTTCTTCAACCTTCCTTCATCAGGTGGGTTAAAAGAGAAAAAAATGTTGATTGCCATTTAATTTTTATAATCCTAATTACTACTATAAAATTAAATACTAAACTGATTTTACTATTTATGTGACTTAGTGTTTTTTTTTTTTTTTTAGTACACTTAGACTACAGTTATTAGTGAATGGTCTTAATTTTTGTCTTCACAATCTTGATTAATTTCATGGATTAATGTGAAGGACATTTTCATTGTATAACTAAAGAACTCAAAAGAACCCCATAATATTTTAATAAGTAGCAATATATTGTACCCACATGATCAATCATTAGAGAGATGCAAAGTTTTTAGTATTTTTTTTGGGGGGGGGGGTCAATGCTTCATTTAAAAGAATTTCCCTGGCTTTTGCTAATTTTACATCTTTGATGAATTCTTTTGCTGGAAAACTGTTGATCAAATAAAGAACATTTGGAAGTTGGTAGGGAGAGTGGGGAAGGCAGAGATAAGACACAGACAGACATGTAATTTTCCAACTAACAAATTTTTTTCTTTTTACATTTTCAAACATTTCATACACTAAACATAATAACAATTATTCCACACATATAGTACTTTACATCAAATCTTGTTTTTTTATTTTTATTTTAGGTGGTTATAAAATATTTTCAATTAGTGTCTTTAAAAAAAACAAACAAAAAAAAAAAAAAAAAAAAAAAAAAGAAACACCAGTCTATAATAATAATTCTTAATGTAGGTTTTAAAAATTCAAATTGGGAAAAGGAAAAAAAGCCCCCCCCCTGCAACAAATTGTAAAAGTCCAAACAGCTCAACTAAGAGATGAAAGCAAGATATTTATTTTGGAATCTTTGTAAACTCACCAGTTATTTGTGGCACTAATTTGTGCTGAATCTGTAAGAAGAAGACAAACATGTCCATAGTACGTTGTTCATTTGCAGACAGGCATAACTGTTTCTCAGGGGTGGTAATTTCAAAAACATATGCTCGGTTCTTAGAATTGGTGATCTTTTCCACCCTGTATTTTGGATATAATGACAATTGCACTGGAATATAAGAAATATTGAACATTAAAATAGTCACAAGAAAGATATCATTCAATATTTATTGTAAGATATTTTTCAGTCTTATTCCTTAACCAATTATCACAAGTAATTGACATTTTGGATGGATGTTGGATTTAACGGCATGTCAACTCCTATTTAGGTCAATTTATGCCGAAGCCTTATTAATTTATGAATTTAAGTTGGTTATTTTGTATAAAAGGTTGAAAGGTTGTTGGGTTTCATAATTTTCTGTATTTTTTGGGATTGCTTTTTGTGACTGTTTCTGATTGTGTATTTTAATGTTTACATTCATAGATGCATATATATGTCTATAAGCACATTATATATATATATATATATATATATATATATATATATATACACTATTTGAAAGGGTTATATTTTATTGAGGATTTTTATTTCCTTGAGAAAACTGTATATTTTTTCTGTGTCTGTATTTTTGAATATTTCTTTTAAATCTTTTCCATTGAGATATTTCTGTCTTATTCTAGTTATGATTTTGCATTCCGATAGAATATGTCTTATTGTGATTAGGCTTCCACATCTACATTTTGGTGGATTTGTCTTTTTTAATATGTGAGAATGAGTTAAATATGTGTGTCCTATATGTGTTCTGGTTATGACAACTTGTTTTTTCCGAGTATTTCCAAGATCATTTCCCCATTTTCCTATTTTAGGTTTAATTTGAAATAATTTATTTCCAGTTTGGTTTTTCCATAGATTTTGCCATTTGTTTCTTATGTATTTATATATTTTAGATTTTAAGTCTGTATATGGAATTTGAAGATTTTCGTCAATTGTCATTTTTAAAGATGATTTAGCAGCATTATCTGCCTTATCTCCTCCTTGGATGCCAACATGGCTAGGAATACAGCAGAAGATGATATTTTTGCTTTTTTCCATTGAATGTAGTTTATATAGAAGACTTTGTATTAATGGATTTTCCAGTCTTTTCCCTTTTAGGGAGACATTTTGGTCTACATTGTTTATAGCTATAAACATTATTCATTATAGTGAGCATTCTTCTCCCATAAACAAAGCAAATTTTGTATGTGTGTCTCTCATATAAAAACACACACACACAGGGTACAATGGGTAAATTGTCACCATTTTACATTTTTAATTTCATGCATTTGTTTTTGATTTTGTTTATTGCACAGTATAGTAGGGTCAGTTGAAAAGAAAATAGGCTTGAGATGTTTACCATGACCAATATTGAATATGACCTATGTTAAATTCAAACTAAGCGACAATCAACTTTCTCAAGAAATAAAAGTGGAAGGGGTAGGGAGGTAACAACCTAATGCTAACTAGTTATTACCTGTGTGTGTGTGTGTGTGTATATATATATATATATATATATATATATATATATATATATATATATATATAAGTACTAATATAATATATTCTAAAATACAATTGTGATTATCATTTTATTCCTACCTATTGCTGGAACTTGCATTGTCAAAATGTTACTTGAAATAGGTCATCATTAGACTGAATGAAAGTTTCAATATAACTTGGGCTTACTTATATTACAAGTTATATAAGCAAATAAAATTTAGTATAAGTAAAAGATGGAAGGTGATATATTCTGCAACTTCTAAATCCTTCAAAAAAAAAAAAAAAAAAAAAAATTGCATTATGGAAACGTTATTTTATCAAGCTTGTTTTTTAAATTAAAAGAAATATTTAAAAACAACAATATTCCTGAACAATATTTTATTACCAATTTTACTCCATAGTTTTTTCTAAATTAATCATTTTCACTATCATATTTTATGATAAAATAATAATATATATATATTGCTATTTTATCATAAATAAAAATTAAATTATATATATATATATATATATATATATATATATATATATATATATATATATATATATAAGGTGATTATAAAGGGAAGGAGGAGATTAAACCGTAACAGAATTTTCTCTGTTAAGGTTTAATCTCCCTCCTTCTCTCATCTGTTACCCCTCTCTTTAGCTCTAACATTTGTCTTACACTCTCTCTAAATTCCGTTTTTATTTCCGGAGTTGTTTTTTCTGTTTTCTTTTTGAATTTGTAGGTCTGATGAATTGGATCGTATTAATGATTCCAATGGAATAAATTATGACCATGGAATATTAGTGTTTAAGCCTTTTTATTATATCCTTACTCTGTCCTGGACATTGAGTTCTACCTGGATTCTATCCTCTTGGAATATTTATTAAAAAAATATACATGTATGTGTATGCACCTATGTATATATATTTATATATTTTGCATATGTATGTGTATATTTACCACTAATATTACATAGTCTAGCAAAAAATGCATACATACTTCAGGAAAGGAAAAACTTGTATAGATATTGTAATACTAAATTTATTCCAACATCATAAGATTAATACAAGTTACCTTTACTCTACAATCATAAGAGATGCTCCAAATGGTGGTCTTTAGCTTCCAGTCATTTATTAGTATGGCAAACTACTACTTGGACAAAGTGCACATGCATTTTCAAGGTGTTGCCTAAGGGCCACCAATGTAATGCTGTTGAGAAAACATTGTATTGTACTACAGTAAAGAGTTATCACAAATTGATAAAATTACAAAGGATGAGTTTTTCCTTTGAAGTGTGTGTGTGTGTGTGTGTGTGTGTGTGTGTATATATATATATATATATATATATATATATATATATATATATATATAAAACATGCTATTATTATGGAGTAGTAAAATAAATACACCAACAAGAATAAGAAAAGAAAGATAGAATGACTACAGATTGTACTTTATTTAATTCCGTGTAGCTGAAGTGATTAAAAGATGATGTTCAGGCAAAAAACAGGCTCCTGAGGTGTGGAATGCAAGTTAAGTATCATTAAAAATGCTTTCTTTATTTCCTGTGATTAATTATAGCATTTGAAGAACTTATCAACTAAGGATGTTGTGATAAGTCACAATAACAACATTGAGAAAACTTTATAGTAAGTTAATAATAGCAAAAAGAAACAATGAATAGAAATTTCTCTGAACAGACTCATGAAGCACTATTTTTTATCTTGGGACTGTCAGAAAATTATTTAAAATATAAAAATATATCCGCACAAAAAGAATGATTTTTCATCTTTTACAGCTTATAAATTATAAATAATTTATATTTTTATCTTTAGTTTGTATGTAATTATACCTAGTTAAGGATGCTGTCTGAATACCCACCTCCCAAATCCCCCCCCATTTTTATCTTTTCATTAAAAATGTTTTCATTGAAATCTACATTAACCAAGATAAAAACTATAAATCCCCATTAAAAAATGTTAATTTTTTATTGTTTGTTTCGTCCTTTAACTTACTATAACAACTTTTAAACTTTTATCTGATTGATCTAATGTAAGACAACTCAGAGAAAATTAAAGGGAGATAACTTTTACAGAAATCTATGTAATCATTCCCATAAAGACTAATGACTTCATCTAATTTAGATATGGTAATTCAATCGTGTTGAAAATAAATCAGAAATTATTCTGGCATTGATACCTTCTCCTATTTCGAAAAAGAGTTATTACTCTCTGAAGAGTTATTTACTGATTTTTAAAATTTTTAATTTTATTGTTTTGCTTTTGCTGTTACTGTAATGGTTTCAGCAGTTTGATTATATAGTCTCCAGCAAGTTAAATGGGCTATTTCCTAGAAACACAAACTGTCCTTTACTTAAAGATTTTTTTTATTTGTTTATACTTGAAGACTGTAGAATGAATTGACTGAAACGAGTACAAGAATCAAGTCATTAAATTCTTCTCTAATCTTTTCATTATTTTTGTATGCATGTAAAAAAAACAAAAAACATATACAGCAATAAAGCTAATGGCATGTTTACTTACATTATATGCACACATGAAAATTAATCAATTAAATAACTGAAAATCTGTTTAAATCAATAAGTGACTATCACAATCTGAATAACATATGAGATGTGTTCAAAAAAATAAGACTAAACTTTTAAAGATCTGGTATCAATGAGGTGTTTTATTTGAACAATATGTCAGGTGTGATACTGATACTTCAAATTGAAAAGAACATCCACTGAGAATGATATTAAATCTAAACAAATTTCAATGACAATAGATAATGATGAGACAAAGAAAGTCCCTATAATGACATGTGGAAATTATCAACTGATTTGTGAGGTCTCCATAGGGATAGGAATCTATAAAGTTGTGGCCACTTTGAAAGGACAAAGATAATGAATCATGTTGCCACAAAATGTGACAAAAGAACCAAGATCAGATCTCTGACAGTCAGGAATTTGTTAATCATGTAAATGGTAATGAAAACTAAGAAAAAAAAGGGGGGGATTAGAAATAGGAGTAATTTTATTAATTTTCCTTTTATATTCAGTCATTTCCTAAGGATCTTTTGAAAATATTAAAACGAAACTCAAAACTGATTTCATGAATTAAAATACAAATTATGGAGGAGTTTCAAGATTGAGGTTAGAGTTGCTTCCCTTCAATCAAATTTGTTTAGATTGGGTCAGGTTTTACAAAGCGAAAAATTTTGAAAAATTATTCATTTTGCTAATGTTGAAATTGCACCTTGTGTGTGTGTATGTATATATATATATATAAATAAATAAATAAATAAATAAATAAAAGGTACCTCCATAAAATCGCTTAAAAACTTGCATACCAGGATGAAAAAAAAAAAATCTTTTAAGTGGAAAGATCAAGGTATTTTTTTTTTTAATCCTTTTTAGAACATTCGAAATTTTGATTAAAGAAAAAAAAAAAAAAAAGTCTTGTTTTTCTTGCGTTAGCAGATGTACAATATTTTAGCATAGCAAATTTTAGCATCTTTTTGCAGTGAAAGAATTATTTTTTAAAATCTGCTCTGAATTGTAAAATAAAAAAACATAATAAAACGAAGACATTTTTTAATTAGGAAAGCTCTTAATTGCTTTTATGAAAAATATATATATTAAGGACAGTATTATCTTTAAAAAAAAATTTTTGATGAGAAATTAATTTTTACAAGATTTGTTTTCATTTTTTTTATAATTTAGAAAAATTTATAAAATTTTCAAATCTTTTAAAATTCAATTTCAGTAATGTAACTGTTAGGGAATCTTGTTAAGTAAAACTATGCTGTATTTTTAAGAATAATTTTGAATTGTTTTTGTATGTGTATAAATGTGCTGATTTTTCTAGACATGAACATCCCTACACAACATTATCTGAAAATAAGAAAGATATAGTAAATTTAAAGCCTAAAATTATCTAAAATTCAAAAAAACATTAGATTATGGAGAATATTTTCTTGAATTTTCAAGTTTACCGAGTATTTAAAAAGGTGCTAGCATTGTATTCTTCAATAATTTTTCAGGGTTAAGGCCCCTGTAGTACATTAGATAAAAATCTGTCAGAGTTGTCACAGAACTGTTAAAAAGCTGTTGACATAAACAGCAACTGCAGTATTAAAAAAAAAAAAAAAGAAAAGAAAAAGAACTTCTGCAATATTTTAAATTTGAAGTAAATAATAATGGTTTCAAATCAGATTAATTATACTTTAAATCAACGAATATTCCTCAAATAAAGTTTCAGTAAAGTATATTTTTGTTTTTGGAAGATTTTTTTAATAAAGAGATTTACATTTTTGATAACAGTTTGCTAAAAATGGTGCAAAATTCAAAATTTTTTTTAGAAATTTCAAAATAAAAACTCCTTCCAATCAGTTTAAGTTAGTTCTGAAATACAGTATAGTATTTTGCTTATTAAATTATTATTATTATTAAATTTAATCTATCAGCTTGAAATTAAAACAAATAAAAGTTTTAAGACATTTCATTTTTAAAAATTCATTTTAAACCTTAGGTATCACAAATCTGAGGAGGTACCTAATATAAACACACACAAAAATGAATTCATATGCAAGTGAGTGAAATTTTTAAAATTGTTCTGTAAATTCAGAGAAAAATATGCACACATAAAATTTATTTTTTCTATACAGCTGTTGAGAAAAAAGTACTTATTTTAGTCTACCCACAATTTTCTTAAAAAAAAAAAAAAAAAAAAATCATAAATATCATGTGTGTATTTTGAATCCTCAAAAAGAAAAATGTCACTTACTTTTTGGCTTTCTCTTGTTCATTGGTTGTCGATCAAAATATTCTAACACTAAAGTATCATCCTTTTTCTTTTTCAAAATGAAATACTTTCGTCTCCATGGTTTATAGTTGAGGCTAAATGTCCGTAAACCAGTTATAGTTCTCAGTTTGTACAAATGATCCTGCAATATTAAAAAAATCTGACTTAAATTGAATGAAACATAAATCTATAAAATTTACGCCAGAAATCTCAATGAAAATACAAAGGAACATCAACTTAACAAGGGTTGTATTTGCTTAAAAACTGATTTACTGGATAAGTCAAATTTGCACAGAATAACATAATGTCCTTCATCTTTAAGTTGCTTGTCATAATTTTCAAGAACATTCATATTCTATATTCAACAGCAATGTGGATTGGAATTACAGAATGTCTCTGGTGAGATTTGATTTCAGAAATCTGTTCTAATGTGACAGTTGTCTTACCTATTAGGCCATGGGAACCTGAGTGCAGTCATTCAAATCTACCCATATAGCTTTCCTTATTTTCACCCCTGACTGCCTGACATATAGCCAATCTGTTTGAAAGTCATAACAGTGACTAATTAAACAACCTAATCTCTAACCATTTATGTATCGTTATGTCACTGTTTGCATTTTTACTACTACATTGTAATGAAATATCGAGCATCAGAATAAATTAAGTTTACATAAGTTGAGGAGACAAAACTTTTTCTGGAATTTACAATTTTTCTCATATCAACAAGTATTTGATAAAAGACTGAATAATAATAAATTATTAAAGTTGTACAATAAAGTGTTGGATTAATGATTTATACTTTGGTGCTATAAAATGAATTAAAATAGGCGTGTTAAATAGGATTTAAAAATTTGTTATTGTAAACATAGGTATTCTACTATTGTATCACAATTTTTTGAATGATCTGTCATCAAATTTTTTAATCCCTTGAAAATAGATGTCTGTGGAGCAAGCATAATTATTCTTTTTATAGTAGTTCAAATTGCGTCATAATTTAGCTGAACAAAGAGCAATGTCAAGTTAGCATTTAGAGAAGAAACTACTTATGAGTAAAACAATATAGTAATGATTTCAGAAACTTCATTTCATTCTGGAAATGAGAACATTGAGAAAGATCCATGAATGTTATCAACAAGAACCAATTAAGAACAAATTTAAACAAAAACATGAAAAACAATCTGAGCTCTTTCTACAAATCTTGGAGGTCCTGTTCCTTGTCTTTTTCATTCTGACAGGAAAGATGAAAATCTGGACAAATAGATTCTACATGATCTGATAAGAGAGGAAGGGAATTTTGTTCTTTTAAGTGTGCTCATCATTGCTTACTTATACAATAATGAACAAGTAAAAAAACAAAAAGCATCATTACTGATGATGAAAATAGATCCTTCAGATTATTCATAAATGATAACAGGAAAGAATTTGAATTTATTTAAAATCAATACTAATACAATATCAATACTTTACAAAATACAACACTGTGTGTTGTATTTTTCAAAATGTCAAAATTTGAATATTTTATCTGGTACACTAATATGACCAGGGATTTTAAACTAACAAGCAATAAAGGTGACGTGATAAACAGAATGAGGCTGTGAATTTCTACCCAGTGAAAGTGACAACTGAAGATATACTAATTGCTGACAACCATTTTGTGTCTGAATGAAAACATCCTTTTATGGAACATTTTCCTTATTTTTGCTGCTGTTATGTTTTCAGTGTTGTACACCCTGATGCCCATCACATTTAGTAACCTGGGAACACCCAAAAGAACCTTTTGATATAAGAAAGTATCATGTTCTCATTTATTTACAAGACATGTTCACTGGCATCAGTTTTTCCTTATGGTGTTGGTCTGTCATTTTGTATTGACCGACTCAAAGATTGAACTCACAACATATATTCTCTGCCTTGTGTGTATAAGTGGATGCAAAAAAGGTTTCATAAGATGACTTTTTTTTGCATGCTATTCTTGATGGAACCTAAAAGGCAATGACAATTGTGGGCACAAATATTTGTCTCTTGGAATTTGATGGCTAACTCACTGAGGAAGATTGCACATGATTTGTATACAACTTGAAAAATTACCCGATTTTTCTGCTCACAAGAATCTTGTAGATACGATGAGGGAGTGAGTTTAAAATGTCCTATTTGATCAAACAACAACAGTATTTGATATGCATGATTCCAGAATTGAAGTCTGGACCATCAGAAAACCATGAGCTTTACCATACTTATTAGATATCTATAACCAAAAACTGTGTATTTCAGTTCATGCAGTTGTGGCAGAGAATATGAAGAACAACCAACTGTTCACTAACAGTACAAATGGAGAAATATCAAAAGGCTATTGTCCAGAGAGAGGAAGAACATTGTAATCTGTCATAGCTGATCATGTATGGAGCCAAAATGTGATCATGAACTCATGAAGTCAAAATAATAGAACAACACTGGAGGATGATAACTAAATGTATCTGCACACAGGATAGACACTGGTAACCTATTCAGTAGACCTAGAATAATGATAAATACCATCTGGGAGTGTCTGATTAAGAAAAAGAAATAAAAGAAAGCTGCTTACAAATTTCATTACCCAAGTCAAGATACTCATACAGTCCATACAAATTGAGAACAGACATTAGGTTCAAGGCTCTAGAATTTAATCACTAGATTGTCCAACAGACACATGTCCTAGTAGATTGAAGTGTTGGCTAAACTCATCTGGATTCCTGGCAGTTATGAATCCTTAGGTCTTATAATGCCATAAAAGACTGTTAAGTATTAAATTATATGAAATATCACCCAAATAAGAAGCTAGAGTGAAAAAAATCAAATCCTGTAAATTAGAACAAAGTTTTCATTTTAAAATTCCAAGACGGTTACCAAGTACAAAGATCTGAAGAAGGCAACAGATTACAATGGCCCAAACATTGATGATGAAAAGACGAACATGTTTGTCCAAAAAGTAAAATATAGAATAATGGTAATTCCCCATATCAAAAATTCCAACTAAAATTTACTTTTATATGACGCTTATATTTATGCTATGTTTACTAATGGGATATATAGCATATACTTTTTCTCTATTAACTTGAGTGTTCTTCTGCCAGAAAAGGACTATTCAGTATTGAAACTTTGCACATCATAATTGCTTCCTTCCAAGAAAGGATTGTTAAATTAAAATAAATATTTTTAATAATATTCAGGTCAACATTTTTGCTGCAGCAAGACAAACAATAACTAATGTAATATAATCATTAATTTTCGAGGAAATATTCAGAGATCTTTTTGCATTTAACAACTTACAAAATTTCTCTAAGGCCTTTTATATTTCAATTGCATTCAAACTTCTATTTATCTGGTGTAAAGGAATTGATTTCCATCAATAGAATATATAGTATCTTAGTATTCCACCTGGAATTAAATATTTTTGTTGCAAGTTATGTCAGTAGAGTAAGATCTATATTAAGGACAAAAAGAAAAAGGTATTATTTTCTGCATTCTAAATTCAAACAATATTTACTTTTTAGATAGTAAGAAAATCTACTAATGAAAAGATGACAATGTCTGGTCTTTAGCAGGAAGAAGAACCCAAGATTTGAGCTGGAGATGACAAGAATGAAGCAAAATGGAAAGTTTGATCAGTTCGTTAAAGTCCAATTGGTAGCCAATCTAAAAGATGACCTACAATCTGTTGGGCAAGAAATAGTTAATTTTAACAGCTTTAAAATGAAGCTACACTTTTTTAATCATTTGATAGAAATATCTTTGCCTTCCATCAGCATGGCTGATGTTAACCTCCAGGATAGTGACTCATTGTACCTTCTTGGGCTAATGGTTTCTGCTGACATAAGTGAAAAGATTATATTGAATCATTTGCTAGGTCTGCTGCTAGGAAACTTGGTTCACTGTTTCTTGCAAGTCAATTTTTCTCAACAGAATCTATTGCACATATTCATCCATGCATTGAATATTGCTGCCACATCTGGTCTGGTGCTTCTATGTATTTAGTGATTCTTGAGAAAATACAAAGATTTTGCAATGTTTTTGATCCTGACCTGGCATCTTGGCTTCAGCTACTTTCCCATCACTGCAATGTAGCTTCTCTCTACCTTTTCTATAAATATTTTTTATGGTAATTGTTCTGATAAGATTTTCTCTTTGATACTTCAACTTTACAAATTTAAGTGCAGTATGACATTGGCAGCTAAGTTTCATCATTTTTCAGTTGTAAGTGCTAGATGTAAATAAGTTCTACACTAACAGTTTCTTCCCTCACACTTCTCACTTGTAGAACACTCTTCTGCCCTCTTGCTTTTCAGTAAAGTTTGATCTTCAAAAATTTAAATGCAATGTCAATCATTATCTTCTCTTTTTAATTCCTTGTTTGTTTTTGTGTTTTTTTTAATTTATTGTTCTTTCTCAATGTTTTTTCTTTTTCTCATTCTTTCACACTCAGTAATATTTTGCATCTTAGTGGCTTTATTATCTTGCTTTAGTTGAAATGATTTTTAAGAAAGAAAAAAAAGTACAGAAATTTAAATATCTGAAGTGTCTTAACAGATGACTGAAAATGTGACAACAAAATCTGAAAGTATATTGGAATAATGCTAAACACTAAGGAAAGTATTAAGAAACAGGAAAATTTTATTAGAAACAAAGAAAAGAACTGCTACATAACATCAATTTTCCTATATAGCATTAAATGCTGGATAATTTCCTTGGATAAAAAGGCAACTTGAGACAACTAAGATGTGATTCTATAAAAGGAGGCCGAGAATACCAAGGATGGAACATGTGAGCCACAAGGAATTTTTAAGAAAAATGGACACAAAAAGTGGACTTCTACTGAGAATCGGACAGAAATAGTTGAAATTTCTGGGACATATAATAAGGAAAGGCTACTTGGGGAATTTGACACAGGACATATTGGAGGTAAGAGGGGCAGAGGAAAACTTAGTAATCTAGCTAACAAGCTTGGGTAAACAGATGACAGAACAGGAAGTGGTAGGCATAATAAAAAAAGACATACTTCAAAGAGCTACAAATGATAGTAAGTTGTAAGGAGCTATGAAGGGGCATGGCACATAAAAGAACTACTTTGATTTATCAATCTGATATGTACTAAATTTGATGTCTTAA